AATAAGACAGGTTTACGGGATGCATGCCATTCAGGCCACCGGAAATACTCCAAAATCCTTAAGTCAGGGCTACTAGGAAGAACTGATAATGAAAACATACTTCTATATTTTATATATTACATTTTACGTTTTTATGTTACATCATTTAGTTTCTGTGGGGTGAGCTCAGCCTGTGTGCTGGACACTGAGCTGAGGCCTCCACATTCGCTCTCTCTCCTACCCTCACAGGCTGGCTTTGAATCAAGTACTGGTATCACACTAACAAATGAAGGCAGAGGACTCGGGGACACAGAGCCCCTCACCAAAATCTCTCAGCCAGATAGTGAGAGGAGGAGCAGGGGTGTGACCCAGCTCTCCAGGGGACTACTTTTTTTTTTAATTTATTTTTTTGTTGTTGTTTTCCAGGGAACTCTTTATACTGAATTGTAGGAGAAACACAGCCAGCCATTGAACACTGACTTTTATCACAAAATGATTTTCCGAAGTTTTGCCAGGCAGGACCAAAGAAGGACTATGGTGTCATATTTGACAACAATGGGGCAAGTTGAGGGACTAAAGCAAAAGCTAACCTTGGTGGGATCTGGTGGCAGCGAGGCCTCCACCGTGTAGGGACTCCCAGGCACGGGGTGTCCGTCGTAGGTCACGTCCACAGCATACAGCCCCTCCTCCCGAGGGATGAATTTGGCTGTGCTGCTCTCTCGGCCCACCACGGGTGCCACCAAGCACGGCAAGACCTTCCGAGAGGGGCTCAGGATTGTCACGTCCAGCTTCCCCTGGCCTCCTGCACCCCTGGTGTCAATGGCAAATTCCTGATCCTTCCCAACTTCGACCCCTGGAAAAGGGAAACAAGCCAGAGCAATGAGCTGACCCTTTTCAGCAGCAAGGACAATAAAGAGCAGGGAAATGACAGCTTTGGACACAAGGACTTATCTCAGCCTCTACAATAAGCAACAGCTGGGGCAGAGGACAAGCAAGAGACTAAGTATAACCAGCTGAAATGCCTCCATAACAACTGGCACAAGAACAATAATTAATTAATGATGATAATAATACCTATCATTTACTGTGCATTTCACATGCCAAGCACAAACACAGCACTTGGTCTCCTTTGGTTTTCACCACAACCCCATGGGGTATTTATTATTAATCCATGGTTTTAATAGATGGAGAAACTGAGGCTCAGAGAGGTCAAGTAACCTGTCTGGGTGACATATCCAGCAGGCCGGAAAGCTGGGACCCAAACCTAAATTTCCCTGAACTGACAATCTGCTCTTCTGACCAGTAAGTTATAATCTGATGCAATTCTCTTTTCTTTACTCACTTCTGGTGTTAACTTTATATCAAAACACCTCCCTAAGTTAATGTTTATTTACTAATTCTTGGCAGCAAATTCAATCCTAAAGCCGTTCCTCCCCTTCAAGAAGGCAAAAGTCACAGAGCTGGCAAATGTGGGGGCCTTGAAGCAAGTCCTGAGAACTGACTCTGATCTGTGACGGTTTCTAAAAGGACTTTGCAAAGCAGGGCCACAGTAAACCCTAATGTTATTGTGTTTGACAAAAAAAACAGGGAAAAGACTTTAACTAAAACAAAAGCACTGGGAACACAGGGCGCCACCATAATAACCCAAGGAACTCTTGACTCTGGGGCAATACGGGACCTGCCAAGAACACTGCAGAACCACCAGCGAGGCAGTCTCAGGGCTCCAGTTCCCAAATGAAAAGAAGCTTTTCCTAACTGGCCTCATACTTTTCCTGTTCTGAAGTCAAAACTCTCAGCGCCTTAGAGAAAGGAGTGATGACAAGGTGTTGCAGTTAATGTGTCCCCTAAAGTTCATGATTGGAAGGAACTTAAGCCCCACTGTGACAGTGTTAAGAGGGCAGGAAAAGGGCCGGCCCGTGGCTCACTTGGGAGAGTGTGGCGCTGATAACACCCAGGCCACGGGTTCGGATCCCTATATAGGGATGGCCAGTTAGCTCACTTGGGAGAGCGTGGGGCTGACAACACCCAGGCCACGGGTTCGGATCCCTATATAGGGATGGCCAGTTAGCTCACTTGGGAGAGCGTGGGGCTGACAACACCAAGTCAAGGGTTAAGATCCCCTTACCAGTCATCTTTTTGAAAAAAAAAGAGGGTGGGAAATCCTATTACAGTAATTGAAAGGTGGGGCCTTTATGAACTGATTAGATTGTGAGAACCATGCCTAAGTAAATGGATTAACCATTGATAGTTTAATGGTGGTCATGGGCATGGTTATAATGGCTTTATTAGGAGAGGGAATGAGAGGCTTAATTCTCTCTCCCTCAAGCCATTTGCCACGTGATACCCTGTGTTGCTGTAGACTCAACATCAACAAGAACAATGCCCTCACCAGATGTGTTTCCTGGACTGTGGACCTCCTAGCCTCTGAAACTGTAAGCAATAAATTTTACGCCTTTATAAATTACCCAGTTTCAGGCATTTTATTATAAACAACAGAGATGGACTAATACACAACAGGACGCATGAAAAGATTACGCAGTGACCATTCACGCGCTCAGAGCTGATTGCCTCCCAGCCACAAAAGCCAACATCAAGCTCTCAGTTTGGAGCGTTCTAAACTGGGAGCTGGCCTTGGTCACAAGTTGTGCACGTGGGTCACACGTCAATCACGGCACTCACCAATGGCACTGCTGAGACCCTGGAGAAACCCTCACAGGTAGACACAGGAGGCCTGCCCTGTGGGCACACACTCAGCTCTGTGTGACCCTAAAACGAGGTGAATGTGTACCACTGAGGTGCATCCAGTCTGGGGCCACTCAGCAGTTACCACCAAACAGGGGATAGGTGTGAATGACTCCCAAGACACACTGCCAGCTTCAAAGGCAGGCTGAGGACACACAGGCATATATAGCAGGTTAATGTTAATGCAAAATAACATTGCCAAATGTTTCCCACTGCCACATCTACACATACAGATGCAGAGAGAAGGTCTGGAAGGAGAGAAAATGAACTGATAACTTTGGCTAACCCTAGGAACAAGGAGAGGTGATGGTTAGAATGCAACTTGCTTTTTTTTTTTATTTAAAAGATGACCGGTAAGGGGATCTTAACTCTTGACTTGGTGTTGTCAGCACCACGCTCACCCAGCGAGCAAACCGGCCATCCCAATATGGGATCCGAACCCGTGGCCTTGGTGTTATCAGCACCGCACTCTCCCGAGTGAGCCACGGGCCGGCCCCGCAACTTGCTCTTAATTGTAATTTTTTTAGATGAAAAATGGATTTATGTATTACTTATGTAAAAAAATAACATGAGCACATGTTGAACTTCTGAAGCTAAGCGGTAAGTATATCAGTGTTCATATTATACTATTCTCTTTACTCATGCGTATGTGAAATTTTACTTAATAAAAAAAATTGAGATATTTAAAATAAATGAAATGAGCTTTTACTAGTAAGAGCCCTGACAGGCTAAAGGAATATTAGGATGAAGGCAGAATGGAGAGTACCTTATACTCGCGGATTCTGATAGCCAGGGAGTTGGCTTTTATGCTTGACTGTCCAACCCTGATGTGCATTCAGTTGCCAAGAATAGCTGACACAGTTAGAAAGTCATCAGAGAGTAACGTGCCCTAACTTCTCTTTTTAATGAGAACTTCCCACTGGGATGCCAGCAGTTACTGAGGTTGACTATGTGCCAGCCTCTGAACTATTAGTTCATTTAATTTTCAAGTATTCCTGTGGTAAGTGGTCTTGACCACCCCACACCCCCACTGTAAAATTAGAAAACAGACTTGGAGAGATTAAGTGGCAGGCAGAGTCAGAACTATTTCACAGCATGGTCCTAACTCAAGCCCAAGTCTGTCCAACTGCAAGTCTCTTAAGAGACTTTCCTTTTGAAGGAAATTAACTGGCAGCCACATTTGGTGGTCTTCAATGACCCATCTCTGCTCCATTCAGACACTTACTGTTTTCCAGCCCATTAATTTTTATCTTGCTCAGATCCAGCGGAGCAGCAACACCCACAGTGAAAGGGCTTTTAGGAATGGGATCGCCACCATAAGTCACCAGAACTTGCATGCTGCCCTGCAATGAAAAAGAAAAACAAGTACACCTTTGGGTACCAACATACTAACTCGGTTTTTAAAATCCCTTCGGATCCTTCATTCTTCCCAGATACACAGGAAACTTGATTCCAATGGATGTGGAAAGCATCTCAGACATAATTCTCTAAACCTTTGGCTATGTGGTAAGAACAACAGAGAAATCAGATAAAATAAGAGTAGCTAACAGCAACAGGGACACCTTGATGAGCATATTCTACATGCTGAGTGCTATGCCATATATGTGCTTTTATGCATTTCCTAAATTCAATCTTCAAACAGTCCTAAAGGGTAGTTCCTCCTGTCAGCCCATTTTTCCAGAAAAGGAAACTATGTGTCAGAAAGGGAAAGAAACTTGTCCCAAGTCACACACCTGGCAGGGGTGAGAGCTGGGCCTCACACCCACAGCACCCAAACCTGAGTCCTGGGCCTCTCAGCCACACCACCTCCCTCTACCACACACCTAACCCTGGCCATGGGGGCAGCAGCTGTGCCTGGGGCCTCTAGACAAACAGAACCATTTCTTCTATGTCCTGGTAATCAATTTCAGGCCATCAGGCTGCAAAAGGGATTTGTAAGAGTTCACTTGCAACAATTCTAAGACCATCACACAGTATCTGAACTCCGTGCAAGGGTGAAGGCAGACTGTGCCCATGGGAATCGTCAGTCCCCCTTGCTGGTGGCCCCAGCCACAGTGGCATACCACAGTCACAAGCACCACTGTTGTTCTCTCCCAGCCATCCCTGGGCCGGCTCACTGCTGCCTTCCTCTCTCCGCGGTCGGCCAAGTCCCCTCCCTCCAAACCAAGCCTCCATGAAAGCCCACAGCTATCTCAGTACATCAAGATCCCTCTCACCTCAATCATCCAGGCATAACGTAAGAGGACATGGGAGGGAGAGGAGAAAGAGAGGGGAGACCATTCCCCTAAGAAGGCAGCAGGCTCGCTGGAATGCAGGCCCTGCTGACAGCTGTCGCTGATCAAGTGTTAAAAGGGCGTAGTTTTTGGCCTATGTATATTTTCTCACATTCCTTTTGTTATAAAGAAGAGGGGGAAAGCCAAGAAAAAAAATTGGTTTTATCAATGAAGGGGGAAGGAATGATTTTCCAGGATTTTTTAGCACTGTGCACAAATCAGCTGCCCCCCTGCCTCAAGGGTATAACATTTCCTGGTAAAATGTGCACAGGTCAAATTCAACACAGCTGGGAGCCAGCCAAGGGACAGGAAAGGTCTCCTGCTTGTCATGCTGAAGACAGGACTGACTTATTACTTCAGCCACCACAGCTCCCCAACATGCCAACTCTTCCCAAGTTTCAATTTGCCCACGAGCTCCTGAGGCTCCCCCAAATCCCACAAGTACTCTCGCTATTTCTCTGAAGTGCTAAAGGAGAGAGGGAAAAGTACTCTTCCAGTTAAGCCCACCCATCCCATAAAAGAAAGTATGTTCTCATTACCAGTCATGAAAACAAAACAAAAGCTCAGGAAATTAACTCTACCTTAAATAACCTAACAAGGGGGAGGAAAAAACCTCAGATTTACAGCTACAACACCTATGGCATTTGAAGGTTTCCCCGAGGCCCCAGCTGAGGCACAGACCATGCTTATTCCCACTGGGCTATGAAATAAGGGAGGTCTGAGCAGTGACCGCCAGCGCACCCCACCAAGACTTTGCTGGCTGCAGCATTTGAAGGTTTCCCCGAGGCCCCAGCTGAGGCACAGACCATGCTTATTCCCACTGGGCTGTGAAATAAGGGAGGTCTGAGCAGTGACCGCCAGCGCACCCCACCAAGACTTTGCTGGCTGCAGGACAGTTTGATTCTCCCCCAATATGCTCCTGAGACCAAGCTTATTCTGCAAAACACACATACACAATACACTGACCAGACAGCTGAGAAGAGCCACCCCCCGCCCTCTCCTCAGAGGCCTCTGTGAGCAGCCATGGCCACCCACATTGTCAACATTTCACAGTACGGACTGCTACCCTGTGAGGCTCCGTGACTACACAGGGTTTCCTAAAGGCACCACGGTAGTATGTGGATTTCCAGTTCCTAGTGGCATCTGACACAGCATGTAAGGGAGCTGCTGCCACCAGCTTCTCCGCTTGTGAATTTAAGCAACTTGAGGCCACAGACAACCAAAGGTACAGAAGGCAAAGTCCTTGGGGAAGTAACTCCCCTTCTAGAAAATCAAGCCTTTGTCTGACCGTTGGGAGGCTCCTCAAGCCCCAACCCAGCAAGTCTACTCCTCCTAAGGCAACATGAGCTCTGATCACTGTATCCTGAAAAGGACTAACAGGATTAACCAGCCACACACGTCACTTGTCCACATCATTCAGGCGAGCACCTGCAAGCTGCCACTCAGTGACCCTGCAGGGGAGAGCAGCAGCTCCGCAGGTGTCAGGCAGCCAAAGCCAGCAATGAGGGCATGGGTTCTTCACAGGGCATAGTCTGCAATCTGAGGGGGAAGCACCCACCCCAGCCAGGACACACCCATGCTCTCCACACACACCAAGCAGTGCCTTTATAGGAAGTTCCAGCCTGTTATTCCCTAAAACCACCGTGAGAAGGTGTCCCCAGGGGCGCCAGCCCTCCACATCTGCTCCCCTCCTGTTTCTGGGCTGACCCAGGCCTCTCAACCACATCCAAGAGCACAATTCAAAGGGCATGCTCTCTTAACCTGATCTTGACCTTCTAGCTGCTCATCAGAAAAGAGAGTTCAAAGGAGGCTGAGGATGTGCTGGCCCCTCTCTTCTACCAAATTACAACGATCTTAGCTGTCTCTGCTTGTGACTCAGGGCACCATGTTATTTATCCACTCATTCAGCCACTGATCCATACAGAGCACCTACAGCGCCAGGTCCTGCACTTGGGGCTGGGGTGGGAAGATATACATAAGACATGGTATTCTATCCTTGGGGAAACCCACAGTCCAAGAGGAGAGATTTAATCTGTTTTGTTTGTCATACAGAAATATGCAAAATTGCAAGTTGCCAAATAACGAGATGATAAACTTCGTTCTAAACAACAAATAACAAGGAGGACCCGAGAGGCACTTTGGGAGTCATCCACACTAATGGCAGCAACTGACACCAAGACTCTGCCAGGCTCCTTGGATGTCTCACAGGCAGCATTTGGACAAATAGCCCCAAGTGGCTACTCAGCGTGCCAACAGTCCTCAAACCTGCTGCTATCAGAGAACTGGGGGTGACTCATCTGATGTAAGCAGTGACTCTAGCATCACTTCAAACGTGACAAAACCAGAACCAGACTCCCAATCTCTGCCTCTGCCTCAACTGGCAGCTGAGGCATCCAGGGCAATGGGTTCTGAACTCCTTTCTGGGCATGTCCCTAATGCTGTCCTGATGTCTGCAACTTATTTTGTAACGGCTAAGCTGAAACACAATATGGTATAGATATAGGATAAAGCAAAAGTCACAAAATGTTTTTGAAAGAGTCTATGACGCTATAATCTCATGCATGGCCATGGCTTCCTGGTACTATCTCCTAAGGAATGCAGAGAACTGGCAACAAAGATGATGTCAAGTTGTGGTCCCACTGGGAAGGCTCCCACCAGCCCTGAAGGACTGTCAGCAGAAAAATAATTACCTACTTGCCATTAAGTGGCCTGATGAGAAAAGGATACTCTATCTACAAAAGTATTAGTTTTACCATTATTAACGAACCCCTCATTAGGATTTTTAAAAGCACAGGAAGAAGTAAGCCTGAAGGTAAGAGGGCACATTTAAAATGTGCTGCACGAGAACAATCAACAGAGTGAAAAGGCACCCCAGAGTGAGAGAAAGTATTTGCAAAACATGTATTTGATAAGTGATTAATATCCAGAACACATAGAGAACTCCTAAAACCCAACACACATTAAAAAAAAACCTGATTCAAACATGGGCAAATAGGGCTGGCCAGTTAGCTCGGTTGGTTAGAGTACTGCCTTGTAACACCAAAGTCAAGGGTTCGGAAAATGAACAAACCAAAAGGGGGTGGGCCGCAAATAGACTTTCTCCAAAGATATATGAATGGCCAACAAGCATATGCAAAGACGCTTAGCATCGCTAATCATTAGGGAAATGAAAATCAAAACCACAATGAGATACTACCTTATGCTCATTAGAATGGCTATTATTTAAAAAAAAAAAAAAAACAGAAAATAAACATTAGCAAGGATGTGAAGAAACTGGAGCCCTTACACACTGTTGATGGGAATGCAAAATGATACAGCCAGGCTGGCCAGTTAGCTTAATTAGTTAGAGCATAGCCTTGTTAACACCAAGGTCTCAGGTTCAGATCCCCATACCGGCAAGCCACACACACACACACACAAAAAGATACTCCATATTATACAGCAATTCCACTTCGGGTATATACTCGAAAGAACTGAAAGCAGAGACTCAAAGAGGTATGTGTACACCCATGTTCACTGCAGCATTATTCACAACAGACAAAAGGTGGTAGCAACCCAAATGTTTATCAGTAGATGGACAGAGAAGCAAAATGTGGTATATGCATACAATGGAATATTATTCGGCCTTAAAAAGAAATGAAGTTCTGACACATATCAAAACATGGATAAACATGGAGGACATTATGCTAAGTGAAATAAGCCACTCTCAAAAGGACAAATATTGGATGATGCCACTTGAATAAGGTACCTAGAGTAGTCAAATTCATAGAGACAAAAAGCAGAATGGTAGTTGCTAGGAGCTGGGGGAGAAGGAGATGGGGAGTTATTGTTTAGTGGGTACAGAGTTTCAGTTTTGCAAAATGAAAAGAATTTTCAAGATGGATAGCGGTGGTGGTTGCACAACATTATGAAAGTACTCAATACCAATGAACTGTACATTTAAAAATTGTTAAGATGGTAAATGTTGCATTATGTGTATTTCACAAATAAAAAAAATTAGAGGGGGAAAAAAAAGCACAGGAAGAAGCAAGTCTGGAGATAGAGGCTGCATTTCTAACATGATGCACAGAACCTGCCCAGAGAACCCCTCCCACTGCCAGGGAAGTTCTCACAGTAGTCAGTCTCCAAGAATGTGTAGCCCTCAAAGCAAGGGGACATCTGCACCATTCTCCCATCCTCACTGTCCCCCTCATTCTTCCCCACTTGACTCTTGCCAACTCCTTGCTGAGGGGCCCAGGCAGGAGTAATGCTTCTTGAGCAGTGTTTCTGCAGAACCATCACCTTTCTTGTCCCACCCATGGCATTTCTCATACAGGGGGATTTTCCCTTAAGCTGAAGGAATCTCAGAGGCTGGGAACAACCATGCAGAACACTAGGCATACATATTAAAACCCAGGCTTTTCTGCTAGGATGTGTGCTCTCCAGACTCTGAAGATGTGAACATGAAGCAAAAACAAATTTTAAACAGATATAGTGAGTACAGAGTTTCAGTCTGAAGAGATGAAAAGAGTTACGGAGATTGATGGTGGTGATGGTTGCACAACATAATGAATGTATTTAATACCACTGACTGCACATTTAAAAATGCTTAAGATGGTAAATTTTGTTATATGTATTTTTTGAAAATAAAAACTAATTAAAAAAAATTTTAAACAAATAAACATGAATTTGTACAGAGACATAGGTTTTTAGGCCCTTATTATCTAAAATAATCAGAGTAAACCAGCCTGGATGGCAAGATCCCATCTAAAATCCTGCGTTTTGTAAAGGGGAATAACTTGCTGCCCTAAATAGTGCTTTGGCCCTTACGGGCTAAAGGCTGAACTGAACTGGCTCTTTAAGACACCACTACAGCACCTCATAAAAAGGGCCAGCAAGGAAAAAATGAAGGTGTGGCAGGTATTTCTCTGTGAGTAATTAATTAAAGACTAAAAGGCAGCTGGGGAGCATGGGGGAGGGGAGAGGGAAAAGGAAAGGAGGGAAAGCAAGAGAGAAGGAGAGGAGGAGAAAGAGAAAGATAGATATTAGGTCCTGAATATCAAGAACTCAGCACTTCTCTTATAAAACCCAAAATGGAGGTGGAGATATGGGACTAGCTTCCTGCTTGTTCTTTGGGAATCCAGCGGACCTCTCCATAGAGCCCATCAGGCTTTCTGTTAGCGCTCCCAGAAAGAAAGGCGTGCAGAGATACCGCCCACTGGCGAGAGCTCCAGCAGAGCACCTATTACTCCCCTTGGTGTCCCAGGTGACCCAGCACAGCACTGCATGTAAGGGGGCCCGGCTGGGGGTAAGAAGGACCCTACCTGCTGGGTGGGTGTGTATTTAACGGTGTGGGAATAGTCGTAATTATCGATGATGTCTAAATCCTTCACTGCACCGCCAGGAAGGGGGCTGCTGAACTCCACATTGAGTGGTGCTTTCCCGGCTCCCTTGGTGTAGACAGTAAAGTGGGTTGGTTTCCCATTTTCCACTCCTGGAAGGATATAACCTTTAGTGAGGAGACAGGCCAGCTGGAATGGTTTCACTTTTAGAACCAGTCTGACAGGTAACACAGCACCTGCTCTGCCCTGGCAGCCAGTGACAGGGCTGGCCCACAGCTCAGCCACTGCTACATCAGTGCAGTGCAGAACACCTGCCATTGGGGGAGACCCTCAACCACATGCCCAGTGCCACCGGCCTGCAGAATGCCTCCAGGACGGCCCGCCCATGCCATCTTACCTGCTTTGCTGAGCCCTGGGCCCTCTGCCTTCACTTTGCTGGCATCGTGAGAAGGGTCGACTTTGACTCTGAAAGGGCTGGCGGGGATTTCCTATAGCAGAGATACTATCTCAGTAGGAAAGCCCCGAAAGTAACTGCCAGGGCTTAGCCTTCTACCCAAATGCCAAGGGGGAACCTTAGCACAACTTTTACTCAGCAGGTGGTGAGTAAACTTTTGTAACCATAGATCAAGTCTTCCATCCTAGCAGCAGGTAAGGGCCTCGTACAGTTAGTTGGCCACTCATTCATGCTGGCTTCCCCGATACCACAAGCAAATCTGAAAACTCTAAGCCTTTGACACCAA